ATATATATATATATATATATATATATGTTTAATGAGAAGATAAGATAGATTTACAGCATGAATCATATTTTTAAGCAGAATCATAATCGGTTTGGGTGTGAAATTTTATATATGGTCCCAACAAATAATCTTCGTTGGAATCCATGCAAACCAAAAAACAAAGTACGATTGTTCTATATTTCCAAAATGGTGATAATCTATATCTAATTTTTCGCTACAGTTTATATAGCGATCTTTTATTAAAATTTGTTGAAAACATAATACGTCGCATGTTTGTTGAAGAGGGTAGGTTTTGATTATAATTTAAGAAATATGATATGCATGTAATGACTTTTTAATGATTGTGAAGTTACAAGAGGTTATAGAATCAACCATTATGGAAATTTCATAGTGAAGATACCCTTTTACTTGCAGCCTTCAATGTATTGACTTTCCTAATAATAGATTTTGCATTCAACATATTATCTCAGCTCATTTGATGGGAATAAAAAAAAAAATGGAAACCAATGAATGAAATACCCAAGCATGGAAAGTTACCATAGCTTGCAGACTACGGCGCACCGGACAAGCTCTGAAGGATCGAGACGAGAGAAGCAGAAGCCAAGGAGATCAGCGCTGAGGGAGTGGATTGAGGAAGAAGGAGCAGAGGAAACAGGGCCCCGCTTGCCGCCGCCATGTGACGCAGCAGAACGGGTAACGCTGCGGCTGCTGGATTCCATCCTTCAGCTGCTGTGCTCGCCCTTCTGCTTTCCTAAGGGACTATCTGGTTGCAGGATTTGGCCGGATTTAACATAAATCTTACAGAACCTTAAGTCCCATTTCTCCTCCGTTTTGTCCTAAATCTCGGATTCACTAAATCCGGAAGCTAGGCGAATTTAGGAGATTTGGCGGGATAAAACGAGCGAAGGAGAGGGAAGGGAAGGGAATACCCGTAGACGGCTTACCTGCAAGCACCCTTCACGACTTCCTTGCTTTATTTCCTCGAGGGTTCGTGAAGTGGGTGAAAGACAAGTATTTAGAACACAGCGCCGAGAAAGGACCAGAAGGTAGAAGACAGGGTTTCTGGCCAAGGCAGAAACAGAAGGCACGTTTCAACAGCCGCGAAAGATAGCAGTGGCATAGTTTATCCCACTAAGGGCCTTTTCACGCGGAGGTTTTCCGGTGGTTTGGGCTACTGGAGACTGCGGTGGCGGGGCATTTTCATAAATTCAATCCAGCTGAGGGTTCGGTCCTTCATTCTACTTTATTTTGCGGGGCTGCCCTTCCGTGTTTCTTCCGCGGCTCGATTCTCTGCGGCTCTCTCGACGTTGATTATTATGGTGGTTTATCTGTTCAATGATCTCTGTGTGATGATTCCCTTTTTTGCGTTAGTGATTATTTTTTATTCTCTCTTTCTTTATCATTTCTCTTTTTTTTTTTTTTTTTTTTTTTTTTTTTGGCTTTTTTTTTTTTTTTTTGGCTCGTTAAAGTGGTTATGCACATTATGCGCTCTATGCGATAGTCCCTCTTCTAGCTCTCTCCTCTATTCTTGTTATCTTTGTCTTATCTATTTGGTGGCATTATGATTCTGCAAATGCTAAGGTGCAATGCTTATCAGTTTGGTTGTTGGTATCCTCTCCCCTGATTTCTCTCTTTTCTTGGTTTGGGGATTTTTTTGTTTAATATGCTCGGTTGATGATTTTGATGCTTCATGTTGCATCCTTGTGGATTTAGTTTATGATTTTGATATGTTCGATTGTGATACATATCAACCGAGCATATCATGGACGATTTTGATTCTTTATGTTGCATACATAAAGCTCGATTGTGATATGTTCAGTTGTGATATGTTTGGTTGATGATTTTGTCACTTTATGTTGCATTTATGATGTTCGATTCGATGTTTCATGTTGCATCCATGATGCTCATTTTGATGTTTTATACTTTATGTTACATCTATGTTTAAGTTTGCTCAATTATGTGGCTTTATAGTTTATGATGCTCGATTTTCATCATACAAATGCTTTAAACTTCGATTGTGATACTCTCGATGGTTGTGGCGTTTACAATTGACATTTGAAACACATATGAGGTGTGCCTGAATCTTGGTTGAGGTGTTTAGTGTTGTTGGTGTGTGGGTGTGTTGAGGTGTGATGTGTGCAAGTATGTGGTGTGCGGAGGTGGTGGTGGTGGTATGATGTGTGGATGTGTAGTGTGTTTTCATGTTTGTATGACATGGGCAAGTTTGTGGTAAATGGTGTGTGGATGTGTGATGTGAGGATATGTGGTGTGTGGATGTGTATGTGTTGGTAGATGTGTGTGTTTGAGGGTGAGGTGGTGGTGGAAGGTGTATGGTTGTTAGTGATGGTGGACATGTTTGTGTGTGGGTGTTGGTGATGATAGATGTGTTTGTGTGTGCAAAGGCATTACTGATGATTTGTGGCATTCTTTTTTTTTGTAGCTCCCAGAGTTTATGTTAATTGTTTTTTTTTTCATTCTAGTATTACAGCGGTTAAGACCCAAGAGTCTGGTTCATGTGTTAGGTGGGATAAGGATACAAAGATAATATTTTGCGACCATTGTCTTAAGGAGTTCGAGTTGGGAATTAGGCCAACAAACTATTTCAACAAGGAATGTTGGTAAAATATTATCAGAAAATTCAAGAAAAGCACAAGCAGAGAGTATGATAGAATGCAGTTAAGAAAACAAGTGAGATTAGCTAAAAAAGGATTGGAAAGTATGGAAGGAAATGAAGTGAGAATCAACAGACTTAGGGTGGGATGGGCTAAAGTGAACGATTGATGCCTCCGAGGAGTGGTGGGAGAGAGACCGGTGATGAGCATTTTTAAAATGTCCGATGTTTTGTCAATGTTTAAATTGTTTTCAAATCTAACAATATGTTATATGAATTGATAGGTGGTTTCTACTGCGAAAGAATTTAAATATAGTGGAATCGATCTTGAGCTAAATGAGAAGTTGGAACATATGTTCGGAGATGTCGTGGCAATGGACAACAATGCATATGCCCCCAGTAAGGCGGTGTTTGGTGGCAACTTCTGTCCAATAGGTTATGCAAATTTTGGAGGCAACTCCAAAAATTTATGAGGGCATGTCATTTTATTTGTTCTCTATGAAGTTGCATTAAGATCTGACCCAGAGAGAGCATTTCATGACAATGACTATTGACCGTAAGATGACTTATCAAAGTTATTTTCATAGAACCAGTGACGTTCGAGAGACACTTTCTTTATTAGATTCTTATGGGACATTTCACATTTGTTTTTTGTTTATTTACTTTAGATATTTTTATTCTATTTCATGTTGCTTTGGACCTACCACTTTACTTAAGAGTTTTTCAAACCTCATTATGTTTCATACCTCTTTATGCTTTATATTTACTTATGTAATGTTATTTGTGCATGTTGGTTTTATTCATAACTTTTATGATTGTAGCTATTTCATTGATGGTTATTTGTTAATCACTTCGATACTGAAATACATGAATGCAACTTGAGAAAAACACATAAGGAGAGTCGCAGCTGTAGTATGTTTGATGTATGATTTATTCTAACTCGTACATAAAGCGATCCCCTTGCATGACATCCTCATATGTTGGTGGCAAATGGGTTGAAGAGTTGCGACTGGGCCACCAAATGAAGTTAACAATATGATTTGCAAGACACAAACGATATTCACTGATCTATTGGCGGAACAACACATAAATCAGGACTTCATGACTCATCCAGAATGGCTTCACGAGATGTGTTTACAATAACCCTCTACATATTATTGTATAATGAATCGATCTGATGAGCTATGAAGCAATTTCAACACTTCTGAAACGATTTGCAGATGCTTCTTAATAAGGTTGAATGTGATTGTCAGTTTTTCTTCACAAGTCATAAAGCCAATAAATCATGCGTTCGAAAGAATCCCCATATATATTTCACACGATGCGCGGTATATGTTATACTTTAAGACAATTTCTCCTATTTACTACATGCAATTTTCATATCAATATTGTAATTACATAACCCTTCATTATCTTTTTAAAATTATATTGGAGCAATCGATGGAACACATGTTGATGCACGTGTTCATTGATCGTTGTGGGTCTCCGACATAGAACGTCAATGTGGTATGCGACTTCAACTTGTTTTTCACTTTTATCGTGGTTGGTTGGGATGACAGTGCACTTGATAGTTGAATTTTTAAATCTGCAGCACCGAATAACAAATATGGCTTCTCAAATCCACTCACAAGTTTTCTTGAGACTAAATCACTCTCCTAAATCATTTTTTCCTTCAACACAAATCATTAAATTCACATCAGGTAAATATTATTTGATCAATGTTGAGTATTTGTTACAGGGAGGGTATCTCAAGCTCTATCCTGATACGAGATACCACATATCTGACTTTGAGTGAGCCGACAATGTTACACAGTGCAGGAAAAAAACATTCAATAAAAGTCATTTTTTCTTATGTGTTGTAATTGTGAGGACTTTTGGTGTTTGGAAGAAGAAATGAGTTATAATTTGTGATATGTCATCTTACATGTTTCTTAAACATGTGTAGATTATGATTGTCACAATGACTCTCCACTATTATATTCGGCGGCATCCTTCCCACAATGACATCAACTTTCGTAAGGCAGAAGAATATTATGCACACGTACGTGTCGAGGCATGTGAGTACCATCTTAGACAGTCTTTGTCACATGCCGGAAATGATGTTCCTGAGACCTATACTCAATTAAGGAAGGTGCAAATGAGATGACGGAGTTGAGGGAGCAAATTATGAATATGATAATTGGAGGGTGATTTGAAGGAATGTTAATTTTTATTTCAGCTTATTGTAATGGTTGTTGAAGATATTCACTATTTATTGTATCAATATTTTATGCAGTTCATGTTTATTTCAGTTTCTTATACATTTGATATTTATTGTTTTGGTTTTTTAAACAAGTTTGTATTTTTTTTCTTTTGCTTTCCTTTTTTTTTTCTTTTGATGGGTTTTGGATGTTTATATTAAGATGTTTGACCTCATGGATTCTTCTAGATGGCATGTATGTCGCTATTGGTCAGTGTCACATGTGAAATCCTATTGAAGTCAACTAAGTTCATCTCTTTTTTATGTATTACGGTTTTTTAGGTTCTTATAGATGGCCTTTTTTGGTAGTATATATGTGTGACACACACGAACTTGATATTACTTGAGTTGAAGGCAACTAAGAAACCCTTTTTTGTAAGGATTGTTGTCTTCTTGTAGTGATAGATTTATTGGTTTGTATATTAAGTTCTTTGAGACCTAACAACTGCATAAAACTTTAATTAATTACTTATGTTATCAATTTTTACTTGTGCTATGTCTAATGGGATATTTTCTTAAGCATTGAGGAAAGATTAGCTTGAAAATTTCGGGTATCTCCCGAGGATTGCACTACTACTATGGATTTCAATTTTCTCTACTCACTTCACATTAGTCATATAGCTACGGGAGACAGTTTTACAAGTGCTAACGGAATTCACATAAAATGGTGACATTGTCAGTGGGTAGATGAGTTGGAAGATTTCACTGCCAATAGTGATTGGGCATAGAGAATATCCCTTTAGGACAGTTATCTCGTGACATACAATGTCTGCATTTTAAAACTAATATTATCATTTAATTAATTATTATTTTAATAGTTTCTCTTAATTTTGGTAGTCACGTTAATCACCGTTAAGTGAGTTGTCTATCTTTATTTTGTAATATTCTGCACTGGATATACGTTTTTCCAGTATAGAATATACTGGTATGAACATTTATTCTGCAAACAACATTACTGTACAGTGGCAAAATGATCATTTGTCTAGAAATAATCGCAGCACAGTTATTTTCAAACTTCAAAAACCAAACAGATAGTCAGTTTATCCGCAACAGCTTCCGTACTGCAGTTTCCTATGGTAGCTGTTGTGCAGTAGCTTATTATTAAGCTGCAAATACCCCAAACAGACCCTAAGTGATATTGGGTAAATGAATATTTTTACCTCCATTATGTCATTTTGAGTGTCATATTTTCATTTAGTTCTTATAAATTAAGATCATTTTTTATATGACATGCCCAAATTTTTTTAGATCTTCCTCTATCTTTCTTAACATAAGTTAAATCTAAAATATTTGTTCTTCTAACTATATCATCGAATGGTCGACATTTAATGTGACCAAGCCATCTAAGATGGCTTTTTCTATTCTTATATTTGGAGCTATAAAATTTTTTATCGAAAATTCATGACATGAATATTTTAATCTTTAATATTACAAAAAAAATATTATTATTTTTAATCTTTTAAAAATAAAATAT